GGTGCTATCTAAGCAAAGACAAGGTTTTGCAGGTGATGTGGGCAAAGCGGAAGAGCATTCCTGATAGAGCATGTGCAAGGGCCCAGGGGAGACTTGTGAGTAAGGCACCTTCTGGAACTCAGGTCACTTAACTTCTGGAGTATGGGGTAGGGCCCAACCCCAGGGGAAGTGAAAGCTGGGGAGGGATCCAATCCATCAGGTGGAGTTGGGGGTGGGACAAGCTGCACCACAGTGGGGACACCCAGGCACCCCGTGTTAGGCTCTTGCAGCAGGACTGCAGTCCAGGCAATGCCCTTGGGACTCTGGGAGAATCTCCAGGGCATTTGGGAAACCAAAGTCTGAGCTGTTGGAGGGAGATTCCATCAGGGGAGCTGGGTTGCTGCTCCAAGTTCTGGGCTGAGCAGCAAGCACCCAGGGATGGGGAAGAGAGAGCACCATAGCTGGTCGCCCTGGCTTCTATTAACCGCAGCCTGATGCCAAGATCCTGGATGTATAACGAAAGGGTTCTTCTCACCTCGGTCCAGGAACCTGCTGGGAAGCCCAAGAAGCCATCGGTCTTTGAGGTGGGGGTGGAGTAGAGGGGAAGGGGAGGAAACGAAGTGAAAGTGATCACCGCTAGGTGTCAGGTGTCCACTTGGCACATTACATACGTAACCGCACCCGCCTTGTGAAATGGGTATTTTGGCCCTCATTTTAAAGGTTAGGAAACTGAGGCTCAGAGAAGCTAACTAACTTCTCCAGGATGGTACAGGTAGTAAGTAACGAAACCAGGATTCAAACCCAGGTCAGTCTGACTCTAAGACCCATCTCCCTCCATCAGACGAATGTGACTTGCTGCACGCCTGCCACGGGCCGGGCATGGAGCTAAGCCCTCAGACTCAAAGGCGAGAGGCAGTCTCTTTCACGGGAATTGGATGAGATAGACGGGAGGGGACTGTGGCAGAGTGTATTTTCCCAAAATGGCCCCGTGCCCCTTGACTCTGGGTGGAACTCTGTGGCTGCCTTGGCGAGAAGTGCTGCTGCTGATGCCAGAGGCTGGGTCATAACAGGAGGCACAGCTCGGCGACCGTGCTGTGAGAGGATTGGAGCTCCTTGCCCACAGCCGGCATCGCCGCTGGAACGGCCAGTGAGCAAGCCTGCATCATTCGGGCGGGGGCCCCGGACATCAGGGACGGGCGAACGTTCCTGCTGCGCCTTCTCGGTTACTGACACACAGCATCTCTGAGCACCAAGAACAGCTGGTTCACGCCACTAAATTCTGGGGGTAATTTGTTTCACAGCCATCGTCAGTGGAACCAGCACTTTGCAAACTACAAAGTGCCATGCGTGTGTGAGATGTTACCAGTAAAGCTGAGTTTGGCCTAAGGGGATTGTCGGTGTCTGAAGAAGTAAAGTTGCATATTAAAACTTGGGTTCTCCCCAAACGCAGAGACTGGGGTAGGGGCTTGTGTGCAGGGACACGCATTTGGGAAGCGACCCATGGGATCAGGCATAGGGGACTTGGAAGGACACCGGGAAGGAGGCTCAGCCAACTCAAAGCTGTGTTAAAGAGCTGATTCCGGTTGTGTGCAGCTGGGTCTCAGCATCACCTGAGATGGACCAGACCCTCTCAGGCACCTGTGGAACGAGCCTCGGGGTGAGGGACTGATCGGCTGGCTCCAGCCCCTGTTGGTGGAAGGTTGCCCCGGGGCATGTTAACTCCTTGCACTTGCTGGTTGGGAAGGCCTCAGAATGGCTCAAGCAGCTCTCTGGGCAGAGAAGCCCAGGGGACAAAGCTGACTCTGGCATGGAGAGATTACACCACATGTGCTGGGCCCACAGGCTGTGAAATAGAGCATAAAACATGAGCAACACATCGTAGTATGAAATAATTCTCCAGGCGATGATTACATTTGATGTCCTGGACAGAGAGCTGCAGGGCCAACCTCTGCCTGGTCAGTCAACTCCCCCGCGGGCCGTTGGGCAGCCTGCCCCACCTCTCTGGAAAAGCCTGTGCAGTTTCAGACCTGCGTGAGCAAGGCCTTTGTGCCCTCAAAGCCAGCATCCTTCAGAGCAGGGCCAGCTGCATTCTCTGGGCCCTACAGGTGATCCCTGGGGAGGGCCTGGGGCCAGGGCATGCACTGCCTCACGGGAACTGGGCTCTGAGCATGGATTTCCAGGAGCTGACAGCGCCCCAGCCGGCCATGCTTTTTGGAGACAGGGACTTTGAGAAGCTTTGAAGGGAGCGATGAAGAGGGTGAGGTTGCTTTATTCAGACCCTTTGTTTTTCTCCTGGAAGCTAATGACGGGGTGAGAAGACCCCTGGAGCAGGTGCCGGAAGAAAGAGGTGAAGTGTCTGAGTCTGGAGCTCTGCTGTCCAGGATTAGGCTGGGCCTGGGCCAGATGCCTCTGCATGACCGCACCTCCAGGACCTGGGCTGCTGGCCAGGCCCCTCTGCCCTGCTCTTCTGCGGGCTGATCAGTTCCATCACTCACTCCTCTGGGGCATTTGGTCTTATTTTCCAAATAGAGAACCGGGCTCCATGCTCCAGGACCTTGTTTCCTGCCTTTAAGCCTCTTCTTCCCTGTTTATGGCAAAGGAGCTGGGTCCATGCCATCTGCAGGGGGAAGGCCCTGAGCTGCAGGCCCGGGGAGCACAGAGAGGGAGGGTGCTGCTCAGCACCCCGGGGTGCAGAGAATATGAAGCAGCAGGAGATCTGCTTCCCCTAAGAGAGACTAAGAGGGGCTGCACCTCACAGGAGGAACTTAGATTTGGGGAAGGACTTTGAGAATTACACCAATATCAACAACGCTCCAATGCACGAGGCACCTGCTACAGACCAGGCCCTGAGCTTCCCCTCTGAGAGGCTGAACTTGCCCTCCTGTGGGGACTGGTTAAGACCCCGAGCCCCTTCCACCCTCCCAGAGCCTTTCCTTCAGCCTTCTCTTCTCCTGGGTAGAGAATCATGACTCCTTCCTTCCTTCTTCATCCCAAGGTGGTGCCCGGCCTCCTCACCATGTCCAGAGCCCCTCTGCTGGGAGGAGGCCTTGCCTCGGCCGCTGGGGCAGTTCGGTCCCTCAGGCTTGCTTAGGATCGAGGGGTTTCCTGGGATGCAGGACTTTCAGAGAAAAAGCCGGAAAGTCCAGAAAGGTTGGCCACCCTAGATGAGTGTCTGTGCTGGGCCGTCAAGGCTCTCCTGTCTGAGGGAGACAGGCTCATAAATAGGCAATTACAGCAAAGCAGGTGAGCACTAAGCCATAGGGGACCCCAGAGGAGGGGAAGGCTTCCTGGCAGAGGCGTGTCTAGGCTGTCTTATAAAGAGGATGTAAGCCTTTAAAGCAAAGAAAACATGACAAGCAAAGGTGGGAGGAGGGATAAATGGGACACAGGCCTTGGGCTCCTGGGATCTGTGTGTTTCCTTCTTTGGTCCCTGCAGACACCTAACGATGCAAATCCCCGGGCCAGCCTGCATCCCCCTCCCCCAAGCTGCACCCATGATGTGTGGAGCCTGTTCAGGATGCCCAGGTTTTTGTGCACCCTGTCCTGGCAAAGGCTGACCTGGAATTCTAAATGAGAGACATTCTTATTCAGAGAAGACCCCTGCTGGGGTGTTAGAGGTGGCCTTTGACGTGCAGGGCAGGGAACTGGGCAGAAGTGCCCCGAGGGGTGGTAAGCCTGAGGCCCTGAGGGAAACTGTGCTTTGATGGGGACAACAGGAGGAGAAGGGAGTAGGAAAAACAGTGGTCCAGGAAAGGTCCCAGGGCCCTGAATTTGGAGACCTCGCCCACCCTACAGAGACGGGACTCTAAGGAATGGAATCCTAGCCCACCCATCGCTTGGTGATGCGAGAAGTGGGTAGCGCCTAAGTTAAAAAATGTCACCTCTCAGGTATTCCCAAGGACTTAACAACCATTTGTATTCATTCATACATCATTTGTTTGGGGGCAAAATATCCCAGAACAGACCACCTCAGCCACGTGAACAACTTCCTGAATTCCAGGCCCAGGAGTCCTGTCTGATAAGTTCCAGGTCCATTACTCTTGCGTGGGACCCAGGAGTTCACCATCAGACTCTCTAGTCTGGACCCACTAAAGAATAAAGCAAATGTCACCCTGGTCCTCAGAAAGGAGCTGGACGAGTTCTCCCTGAGATGACAGGTAAGGCACAAGGTGATGTTTCTCAAAGTGCGTCTGGGCCCCTCTGCATCAGGATCCTCTGGGGAGCTCATTAAAAATGCAGTTCCCAGGCCTTGTTCTGGAAAAACCAAATCACGAGCCCTGGGGTGGGACCCAGGAATCAGCATTTGGAACAGTCACCCTGGGAGATTCTTCTGCTTAACGTAAAAATTCTCTCTTGAGGGTAGTTTCTATTTATTTTAATAAAAGACAGTTTTATGTCAAAAAAATTCATCTCTACAGTAAAGTTTCCAAGATGAGTCTTAGTGCAGAGTTTCTCAACCTTGGCACAATTGACATTTTGGAGCAGATAATTCTTTGTTGTGGGGGGCTGTCCTGTGCATTGTAGGATGTTTAACAACATCCCTGGACACTAGATACCAGTAGCATCCTACAGTTGTACCAACTGAAAATTTAAAAATATCTCCAGACGATGCCAAACGTCCCTTAGAGGGAAAAATCTCCCCTCAAAGGGGATTTCTTTATCAAATCTGACCTGAGTCCAGCGTGTTGCGTGTGCTTCACCACCCCTGGAATGACCTCCAGAGCAGGCTCTGCCCACACTGGACCCCAGCCCTCCTCCCTACTTCCCAGCTGCAGGTGGGGCTGAAGCCAGTTCACACCGGCATCTCTCCGGGGTGTAGTGTAAAGCCAGCCCCTTTAGCACCTCCTGTTCCCCTTCTCCACCCCTCCCCCAATCCTCCCCATTTCTGCCACATCTCGTGGATGCCTCCTGCTGCCCGGCCCCCTCCCAGGCAGGCAGACAGGGCAGGACCACGGAGGGAAAGGCGGCATGAGGCTGTCCCTTACAAAGGGTGCCAACGAGGCTCCAAGGAAGAATTCTCCTTTTGTGAAAACAGGAAGTTTATTTTTGTGCTTATTCTAAAGTAAACACGGTCACAGTAGAAAAGTTGGCAAGTACAGAAAAATATAAAGAAGAAATAAAGGTCACTCCTAATTCCACCACCGGGACAGCCAATGTTGACACTCGGGGAGCTTCCCTGTTCGGCTATTCTGAACTACCCTGGCTGGTGTGCGGGCAGGACACCAGGTGGACAGGACACTTGTCCAGGGACAATAAAGGGCATCCAGTGTTCCAGGTTAAACGTCTGCTTTATTCAGATCGGGTGACCAGAGGCCCAGGCAGCCGATCTTGCAGGAGATGTCACCCCTGGGTGTACCCCCGCCTCCCCCTTTAAGAATGTGCTCCTGCACAGCGAACATCAGAACTCATCCTTTAGGTCAAAATGGGGTTGGTCTTCAGGCTTGAAGTCCAGGTTGGGGCTGCCGTCCTCGTTGAGGATTCTTCGGGCCGTGTAGCCAACGATGGGATACTTGGCTTTGTACACTCTAGTGAAGACATCATCCAGGGATTCCAGCTCCTTGGCTGTGAGGCCCGTCTTGGGGAGAAAAGCCCAGGACACACAGAGGGTGGGGATGAGCGAAGCATGCCTGGCACTGGTTTCTGGCCGTCCCCCCTTACTCGCCCCACACCCCTGATGCAAGAGAAAATATATCTCAACAAACCAAATAATGGACAATTGGCTTTTGAAGAGACAATCCTGCGTGCGTGTGTGTTGGGGAGGTGGTGATGGGAGGGGAGCAATGGCTTCATCACGTTTTGCTGTTTGACTGATGTAGGAATTAAAGCCTCCGGAGCACCGGCGGCCTGGGGCCGGATGGGGGCGCACCCTGCCATCTGCATGCCCCTCCTCCTGCCTGATTGATCCCACCGTTCTCTACACTCCTCCCACTAGAGATTTATACACCCTTCCCCCTCCTTAATGTTTTCATTGTTTCTGTAATGTTGCAGCGTAAGAGTCTGACTCATCTGAGCACAACTCGGGGGAATGCCAGCCTTTCTGTTGGGATCACTTAGACTCTGAATTGGGTTTTGTTAATGCCATTTTCTCCTTCATGGAAACATGAGCATGGGGGCTCAGGATTCATCTCCTGAGCGACCAAGAGTGGCCTGGGGAGTGGGTCTCAGAGACTAACAGCAAATCTGTAAGAGGCTGGGGGCTGTGGGTGTAGATGGTAAGGGAGATGGGGGTCGTGGCTGCCAAGGCAGGCTGGAGCCAAACTGTGAAGATCACTGCATTTGATCATAAGTTCACTGTAGTCTAGACTTGACTCTGTAGGCAACGGGGAGCCATGGAAGGTTTCTGAGTAGGAGTGGCACGGTAAGATGTCTATTTCAGGAAGACAGCTGGCCACCACACCCAGTGGACTGAGATGTAAAGAGGCTAGTTAGGAAGCCTTGCTACTGCCCAGAGGTAAAAAAGGCCATGGCCGGGGGGTGGGGGGCACGACATTTTGACAAAGGCTCTTAAGCTGGCTCACAGTGTCATGGGTGAGGTCTGCAGGATCCAGGGACATCTTGGCCACCCCTCTGGTGGAGTCCTTCCCTGTCAAGGCATTGTAGGGGGCTCCTCGTCCATAAAACTCTGCAGTGGGGAGGAAGAAGGAGGGTGTGAGAGTGGATGTGCATACAGAGCAGCGGGGGCAGAGGGCTTCCGAGACCCACCCAATCGTGAAAAACGCTCCAGGCCCAAGGAGACGGAGCGCAGTGAAGATGTGAAGTCCAATAAGCCACCCCAGCCATCAGTTTGCATTCCACTAATTCAGAATATGGAGTAAGTCGCACATGCTGGGTTGAGAGGTGATTTTTTTAAAAATACAGAATAAAAATAATCTCTTAAAAAGTATTTAAAATGCAAACAAGAAAAATGCTCAGTCTTTGTAAATGTCAGTGGAAGCCAAGTCTATTTCCATTTAACCTCTTTTGTTTGGCATCAAGGAAACAATGAGCCGTTACAAAATTACTTCCACGACATCATTTGTAGTTACCATTAGCGAAACCATGAAATGGCATTAAAATGTTCTATGACGTTCTATGATCTCAACTCTTTGCTAAGTAACACTTTTCCTCTCACTGCTTCAACCACAGTAAACGATCAAGTTTAAATTTGATTCTATAGGCAATGGAGAGCCATGGAAGGTGTTTGAGCAGGAGCATGACATTATTAGGAAAAAAACTGCTGAAGTACAACCCTGATAAAGATTGTTAACTCAGTCCTTCCCTTTCCTCACACCTCCAATGCCCACTCTGGCTGCCTAGCTCCCCAGAAATAAGGATTCACAAAGCCAAGCCACTTACCCTTTCCAGAAGTGACATCAAACACCACTCCCTTCACTGCCATGTAGATGGGCTGATCTTCCTAGAAAGCAGGAGAGAAGCTGTGAGGAGCAGGCGAAGAGCCCAGCTCTTTCAGCTCAAGTCAGTAAAATCTCTTCCCACCATGGGCTGTGGAGAGAGCTGTGGGTGAAGTTAAAAAGAGCCAGTCCTCAGCGGGCTCGCCCCTCCCTGCATAACAGGCCCACTCACAAGGTACAGAAAAGTTACAGAGTATCATGACAAGCCCAGGGCGATACCTTTCTTGAAAAAAAAAAAAATCAGGAACAGAAGCAACTCTACACAGATAAAAATTCAAAACAAAGTTAAATGATAAACTGTTTAAATCGGTCCAAATTTCCTTCCATCTTCATCAGTGTACAAACATGGATGTAATCAGTGTAAATGATCTATTTTACATTTTGTTTCTTACAGGTAACATTACTTTGTATAAACATTTTCATGTATTGAAATAACCAAATGGCTGTCATTTAAACAGCTGTATCATATTTATATTAGTGATACTGTGTACCTGTCTCCTCAGCTATTCTTCTATTTTGGGTGTCTGGCTTGTTTCCAATTCCTTAGAACTATAAATGGCAGCATTATGAATATCTTTCTACGTTACTTTCTAATTTGATGAGTTATTTCCTTGAGGCCTACTTCAACATATGAAAGTCCTAGGCCAAAGGATGTGAACAACGTAATCACTTTTTATATTTTCCCAGTTTATCCTTTGAAAAACCACTTACGGTGCCAGAAATACACAAGCAACGCAGTTTCCTTCCCCGTGGTTCTAACAATGGGTTTTATACTTTATTTTTTGCTCTGTTTGTGGGTATACAATGTTACCTTAGAATTTCTCCCCCAAAAGAGAATAATATAAAAGCAAACAGCATGGATTTTCTAATTTCCATCACGTCGGGCTCAGGCTGGGGTGACTAGCTCAGTTCCAGGACACCCTCTGTCTGGAAAGTCTTTCCTTTGACACCAGCCCGGCAGCTCACAGGCCAGCGTGCACAGAAATCTCAGGTTCTCCAAGAACACGCTACTTGGCCTTCTCTGGGGGCGGGGAGTGCCCTTAGGGTTCTTGCCCTCCTGGAGCTGAAGGTCAAGTGTTTTCATTACCACATTTGACAGATAGAGGAATGGGGCTCAGAGAAGTCAAGCAACTTGGCCAAGGAAACATATCTCAGTGTCACCTAACCTCTCAGGCCTCAGTTTCCCTAAGCGTTAGATGGGGATGACACCTACCGGCCCTGCGGGAATGCTGAGGGAAATGGTGTAAGTGAGCACGTCGCAGGCACAGCATAGGGGCACAGTACAGGGTTGGTTACTCTTATTCCTGAATCAGCTCCTACAGACAGTCCCCAGAAGTCCCGCTGACTTGGTGGATGCTGGTGCCACCTCATCTAATAAGGGTTATTCAAATGACATGGCTTAACCAGCCAGCAGACTGCATTTTTGTCATGATTTCCTGCCGGTCCTTCATGGTGATTACTTGTTCCTCAACTTCGATAGCTTATCTAGTGGCCTTAATGTATTTCTATCAAGTTTTAAAATATATTACAGTTGCAATTTTACCCACAGCATTTTCTCATCTTTTCCATTCTGTGGCTTTTTCTTTGATGTTACTTTTCTCTGTGGAAACAGGCATATACACATGACATTCACACACATAACATAAAAACATGCATCTGATCACTAACACTCTCCACTTCTGCGGCAGTTAAATATGCACCCCTCACGAAACTATACATCGAAGGTGTAAGTGCTCAAAGGAAATGGTCACAAAGGGGCGGAAGGCACGCTGAGCGCCTTTCAAGGCAATCCTGTTACACAGACATTGCCTAGAGAGGACTGGCCTGACCAGTTAACTGTTAGTGTGCCCTGGGGGCGAGTTTTTTTCATGTGAGATGGATGTCCCCTGATAGCAGAGCCAGCAGGCACGGGTGTTCAGGCCAGGAGATGGCAACTGAGGAAGGTGGATGGAAGCTTAGGGAGTATAAATGCAGACACAGGAAAGGAAACGTCCATAGAGACATGATAAGACCCACATGCTCAGCACCAGCTTCACACCATGGTCCCACCACCCCCTCATCCACCTGGAAGGATACATTGCTTTTTGTCCCCAGAGCAGGTCTGAAATAACAGCAGGAGGGCTGGGTTTTTTTCCATGGGACCAAAGGAGGACTCACCATGGTGTCATGAGTCCTGGCATAAGTTTTCAAGTCAAGCCTGGGTTTGAGCCACTACTTATGAGCTGTGTTGCCTTGGGTAAATTACTTAACCTCTCTGTGCCTCAGTTTTCTCCTCTGTACTAGGAAGATAACACACGTATCCATTTATCGGGCTGTTAAAAGGATTAACCAAGGCTAGAGACATAAAGCACTCAGCAGTTTAGGGGAAAAAATGTTAGTTTCCCTTATCTTCCTCTAGGTTTTAAAAGTTATCAGTTCAAAGAGGAATCAGATAACCAAGAGGAAGGAGATTGGAGATTTTCCTAAAGGAAAGATAGGGAAAAAATGTAATCCCCAAGTGACAGATAAGGACTCTGGAGGAATTTTAAATTAAAACTGGAAGGGGCCCTGAAGATAGTCTATCTAACACCTTCACTTTACAGAGGCAGCTAGCCAGGCCCGGGGAGATCACGAGACTTGCCCAGAGTCACAGAGCAGATTAAAAGAAGAGCACGTTCTGGAACCTGGAGCCTGGGACCCAAGGCTCAGTCCACTCTCTGGCCTGCCCCACCAGAGGGCACACAGCACAAGGACATCGCACTTGCCTGGGACCCGGAGAGGGTGAGAGTGTCCTGGGAAGTCATCCAGACGACCGAGGACCCAGAGGAAAGACACAGGGAGTGGGTCAGAGGTACCCAGACGGAAGGGACTCAGGGCACCGGCCTGCATAAACGAGACCGGGCCTTTATCTTTCCTCTGGGTCTTGGGCTTCCCTCACCAGCTGGCTGTCCTCCCCGTGGTCAAGCAGGGCCAGCAGGGGGTGCCACGTGAGCTACCACAAGAGGATACAGAAGCAGCGGGCAGAGGAAGGAGGGTCCCGTCCACAGCTGCGGGAGAGAGACCTAGAGCCTGGGTGCAGCAGGAAGGCAGGGCCAACGGCTCCTGACCCCCCAGCACTTTCAGACCCTGCACCAGGGGCCGGGACAGAGCAGAAGCCCCTCCACAGTGACTCTCCTCCTTAGAAAAGAGGGAAATGGCTGCGAATGTTTTCTTCTGCAGAAATAACTGGGTCCTCCAAGGATCTAAGGCCAGGCTTTTCTAACTGTAATTAGCATTGGTAATCTATTAGTGATTTCTCAACAGGTTTTTTTAAAAAAATGAAATAGAGGACCAGCACCAGTGGCCTAGTGGTTAAGCGTGGCATGCTCCGCTTCAGCAGCCCAGGTTCAGTTTCTGGGTGTGGCCCTACACCACTCGTCTGTCAGTCACCATGCTGTTGCCACGGCTAGCATACAAAAAGAGGAAGATTGGCAACAGATGTTAGCTCAGGGCGACTCTTCCTCAGCAAAAAAAAAAAAGAGAGAGAGAGAGAGAAAGAAAAATAGAAAAAAAAGCTTAAAATAGAAAACATCAGAGTGTATCACACATAGTAAGAATAAGCATTGTTTCATGGAACTTTTGTTTCAGCTGTGTCTTTGTGTATACCAGGTTAGGATGCAAAACATATTCCTTAACCCAGCCAAAACATCTACAAGCCATCATTCTACTGCATAATTAGAGAGGGTGGTTTCACCTCTTTGTTCACCCGCCTCCATCCAACAGCCTTCAGACTGTCTATTCTTCATGTGTGTCCAGGATGATCCTTTGGGAGGAAGTGCAGTCCTACTCTTCACTATCGCTAAGTTTTAGAAAAGCAGAAGATAAGTGTGACCCCGTGCCCCCATAGCACAGATTCCAAGGAGAGCTGGTGACGGAGCACAGACAAATTCCATTTACAAAGAACAGCCCTGAAGCCTAGAGGGCCTTGGGCAAACCCAGGGTCCAGGGTTGCCCTGAATAAACTCCAGAAACTAAACTACACTTCCTGTCATACTCGCATTCTGATACCTTCTTAGACTGAACCAATATGCCCTGGAACAGGTCACACCACCCAGAGTGATGGATAGGGAGACTCTTGGTGGTTGATTTCCTTTGTGCATGCCAGAGGGAGCACAGCCTGGTCCGCCTGTCTTTCTCACTGGCTGTGTCACCTTGGGCAAGTTACTTAACCTCCCTGTGCCTCTTTCCTCAACTGATAATAATAGCACCGACCTCACGGAGCTGTGGTCATCATTAAGTCAGCTGGTGCTTTAACGCGGCTAGGACAGTGCCTGGTGGAGTCAGCTCTATATAAGTGTTTGTTAAACGCATACATCTGGTCCCAGGCCCAGACGTCATGATGGGGGTGTGAGGACAGGCGGGGGAGGGCAGGGTGGCTCTCCTGCACTTGGCCCTACAGTGCAATTAAGGCAGGAAACATTTTCTGAGGATGCACTTGGAGAGTGGAGAATGGCATTCCCTCTGAACCAAGGAGAGTCCTCGAAGTCACCCCATCCTCCCTCCCCCAAAGCTAACTGTGTGACGACATCTGCTTTCCTTGATAAACCAATCCTTCCCCCGTCTGTTTCCTCCATCGCTAAGGCAGTGGAAAATACTGTGCACATGCCACTGACTCGTCTCCATCAGGGAAAATTCTGAAGACGCCAAAATCCGACATACAGGTTAGAACACCAGCAGCAAAGAAGCAGGTGCACGTCTCTCACCCCACATTTATGTGGCGTGCATTGATTTTCCGAGGACGAGCAATGACCAAATTCATGAATGGCTTGTGATTTATGCTGTTTCTCAATTCTAAAAGCTCAATGTGAGGGTAAGTCATACAAGAATATTACTTTGATCATATTGCCTGGGCTGGGCCCTCAGTCACACATGCTGGCTATGAGGGGCTGTAATTCAGGACAATTAATATATATTTCAGGGGTAATCAAAGGGAAAGCAGAGAAATTTGCATTTACTGAGTACCATGCTAGGTGCTCTCCATACGTTATACATGTTTGCTTATACTCATGTATGTCACTTATGACAACTTTTATAACGACCTTGCGAGGAAAGTATTACTATACCTATTTTGTAGACGAAGAAACTGAGGCTTAGAGTTTAAATAACTTGCTGACAGTTTCTCTGCTGGTAGATAAGAAGCCAGAATTCAGACTCATACCCGTTTGATTCTAAAGCCTATGCCCTCCCCACGACATTCTTCCTTATTGAAAATCGGAACGCCAATCTTGGACCTGTAATTTGTAAAGAGTGAAACCCTGCTATGAGGACAGCTGACGTGACAAGGCAAAAGCTGTCCACGGAAGTGTGTGACCAATATCTTTACTTCCAAGGGCAATTTTGACCAGAGCTGAAGAAATCGAGGACCACAGGACGGCCCTCTGGAACACATTTGACCTTTCTCGTCCCACTTTCATTTCTGTTCGACACGCTTTCTCTGTGATCTCTGTGTTAGCTACAAGACTGGTCCTCCAGATGACCTTCTCTATCCGGCCTTACCAGAACTATGGGGAGAATGAGCTGTGAAGAGGCGTCGAGTCGGCCAGATTTTCAGCAGGTATTCCAAGAGGACTAATTGATGCCACAAGCCCAACTACAGCTATTTCATACTCCCAGGTGTGAATGATTCAGGGAGCCACACTGTGGATGACTCTGAGAACCCAAAATGCCCCAAAGGATGAAACCGGTGCAGGGCCTTGCACAGTAGTTCCAGAACACAGCATGCTTCTGAGAAGGCCACCAGCAGCCAGGACCCCCGTCTTCCACGATTTCCAATCTGAACCTTCCACTGGCGACACTACGCAGCTCCCTGCACGGGTGCCCGAGCTCCCGCCACAAACCACAGGACAGATGTGGGGCTGGGACAGGTGGGTCTGCCTCGGCTCTCATCCAAAAAGCTAACAGCAGAAATAAGACACTCATTGCTAGATGTTTCTGAAGGACTTGCTATACAGATCCACAGTCCCACAGTGGAAACTCTTAGGGGTCAGATGTGTTCTGGAATTCAGAATTTGTCAGATTTTAGAAAGGTTTTATGGGGCACATACCATAATATCTATGGGGGTCCAAGGCAGCACCCCATTATCAACTATATTAATATTTTCACAGTAAAGCATGAACATGAATGTTCACACTAAGTAGGATAAATAAAGACTATAAATAGGTTCGTGTCCGCTTCAACAAGGGTCCATCACCAAGAGTTCAGATCAGATCAGGTTTTGCTGTCAATTGACTTATTAAAAAAAACCTTCCGGTTTGCAGCGCTTATTTGATTTCTGAATCGCATAAGAGGATTATGTTCCTGTTATACTGCCTCTTGCTTGTATCTTTCATAATAAGCTAATAAAAATAATAGCAGCTAAGATTTATTAAGGCTTACTGTGGTAGGACTACACCAGCCCTATGCTAAGCACTTTGCATATCACCATCTCATTTAATCCTTACAAAACCCGTACACAGAGGTAGGAACTCTTCTTATAGCCATTATGATGGTCACTTTTATGTGTCACTTTGGATAAGCTATAGTATCCAGTTACTCAACCAAAAACATATCTAGATGTTGCTATGGAGGTATTTTATAGACGTGATTAACATCCACAATCAGCTGACCTTATGTAAAGGAGATTACCCTGGAAAATCTGGGTGGGCCCCATCACATCAGTTTAGTAATTGCCCAAAGTCACAGAGCAGAACAGGCACTCAAACCCAGGTATGATCCAAATACCTCATCTAATGCTCTATCGAGGGTGACCATAGAATGCATTATACAAACAGTGACACTTCTGAGAGTGAAAGGGGGCTATTAATAATTATCCCAAGACAACACCCATGAACCAGAACCATCTAGGACAAACCACATTAGAGCACAGCTCCACCCAGCTACACTCTACTGCCCCCTCCTCCCTTACTCTCTTCCTCTCTCTGCCTACAGACATCCTCTGGGCTCCATACCCAAAACGGTTCTTTCCTTACCCTGTTTCCATCTCCAAGCTTCTCTCCCTCCTTCCTTCAGTTAACTATCAATCACATCAGCAGAGAAAACCCAAGGTCCTTTCTCAGCTCCCCGTTCTGCAGCCCCTGGCACTGTTGCTGCACACACCTCCACTTCTCTCTTCCCTTGGGTTCTGTGCTGGGGGTCCCCAAGATCACCCCCACATTTGGCGATTTACTAGAAGGACTCACAGGACTCAGCAACCAGTTGTACTCAGAGCTAGGATTTATCACAGCAACGTAGTAAGGATGCACAGCTGGATCATAAGGAAAAGCGACGCAGGCGGAGGCTAGGGGAATCCAAGTGCGGACTTCCTTATGTTTTCTCCCTCCCCTGAGGGGTCACACAGAGCACACTCTTCCCCCAGAAACAAAATGCAGCAACACGTGTGCGATGTTTCTGCCTGGGGAAGCCCATTAGAGACTCGGAGCCTAAGATTTTTCACTGGGGGCTGGCCATGTAGGCCCTCTCTGCCTAGCAGTGTTCAACACAAACACACTCGTACAAAGAGCCCGCATGGAGCCACCCTTATTCATGAGGGAGGTGTGAAACACCTTGGAAATCCAGACAGCAGCCAAGAGCCACTCTTTCTTTCGAGCAGGCCTTTCTAAGGAGAGCAGGCCTGCTATGTTAACTCCTTCCTGCACAGATGCCCTGACTGTACCCTCTGGTTCCCCGCTGCCCCAAAAGATGGTGTCCCTTAGCATCTAGTCACGTCCCTGCCGCCCTCCCTCTGTGTTCTCATCGACTCAGGGTTCTAACCAACCCCACTTTACAACAATGCCCAATTCGCATCACTGCCTAACAGCCAGGCTTCAGGTCCCCCTTGCGAAGCTGATCTGTCTAAGGTTAGTTAACTTAGGGGTTAGGGAGTCCAGGCCAGAGGGTTTTAACAAGTGAACATTGGGTGTTTTCCTTGTTCCACCACTAACTGGTGACATGCTTCAGTTTCCTCATGTGTAAAAGCAGGAGGCTGGTTCATATCAACTCTGAACTCAATGATTTCGCGGCCACACTGTCCCTCGCCCCTCCCCGATCTAATGTCTGCTCGCTATGGCCCTTCTCATGAGCTGCCTCTTGTTCCCACACTCCGCAGCCATCACACTGGGCCCCACCAGCCTAAATGGACAGGTGACTGTGACAAGCTTCTTGGACACCTGCACTCTACTGACAGATGTGGGTGTGTTTGGGGTGGGGGTCTTTGTCCCTAAGCTCCGATCTCCTTCTGCCCTCTCCCCCGGCCCCTGCTCAGCCCCGAGGGCACAGGCACTAAGCATGTTTGGAGAGTCGGCCCCACAGAGGAGGCCTGGGCTATAGGGGCGGGAAAACAAGGCGCAGGGAAAGCCTGGCTCGTCCCTGGGCCTGCCCCAACTCCCACCCAACCCAGGCAGCAGGCTTTGCCCCCCTCCCTCCCTGCCCCGCCACTCCCCCCAATGAGTAGGCAGAAGTGTCTGTCCCCAGCTGATGCCAACACTGAACACAGGAAAGTTCTGAGGTTTCTGTACGGACCACCAGCCAAAACGCATCGCAGGCGGGCAGCTCGCTGGAAGAGCGGGGAAGCGCGGGGTGGGTGTCCGGCTTGGTGGAGAGGGGACAGCAGGGCGCCCGACCGCCGACGACTGCCCCTGACCCCTGGGCGGCCGTCGGGGCCTGGAGAGAGGAGCCTGGCAGGCCTCGGGCCCCCGCCCAGCTCCGAGCCCGGGCTCCGGGAGGGGGCGCCGTCGCGGCCTCCCCGCCTCCTTCCCCACCACCCGGCCGGGGTCCCGGGCCCCTCCGCCGCGCTCGCCCGCTTACCTCCTCCCCGCTGTAGCGCGCCAGCTCCTCCTCTGTGAAGAGCCGCACCGGGGGCCCCCGCTCGGCGGGGCGCGGCGCCTGCCCGGCCCGGACCGCGGGCAGGCCCGGGGCCAGCGCCAGGACCAGGGTGAGCGCTGCCAGCGGCCGCAGCCGCCGCCCCGGCGCGGGGCCCGCCATGGTGAGCGCGCGGAGCACGGCCGGGGACGGACTGGGCAGTGGAGCCCGCGCGCTCCCGTCCCGCGGCCCGGAAGCCCGCCCGGCGCGCGCCCGCTGCCGGCCCGCCCCGCGCGCACCCGCAGGCCGCGAGCCGGGAGCCGCCCGCCGGGGCTTCGAGGGCCGCGAGCCGGGAGCAGGACTCCGCGCCCTCCGCGCACTGCGCGGCTCTCACGGCCCCGGGACCGCGCCGCTGAGCGCATGGAGCTAAGATTACAACCCAAGGCACTGACTCGAAACGGCAGACGGAAAGTTGAGCCAAAGAGCCACGTACGTTCCAGCACGTAGTTCCTTGATTAGGTGCATAGATGACACAGCCCAACAGCCCAGGTATTTTTATAAACTAGGACCCCAACTTTATTCATTCACTTTTACTTTGGGCTGATTTGTTTTCTTTCCCAGTTGTGTTTAAATTTCAGGTCCCCAAGAGGATTTTTACAAAGGGTAGGGCACGGCACAGATATGCACTAAAATAATAATAGCTAACACTTGTGCAAGGATTCCTTCATGAATTTATTCAGCAGATGCTTTTTGAGGGCGTCCGTGTACGAGGTCACTGGGGATGCATCGCTGAACAAGACAGATCCACGCCCACTTGGAGTTTCCGTTCTAGGGGAGAGAGAGACAAGGAGTAAACTGAGATGCAGAGGGTTTGTGGACCGATCCTGTGTAGGTCTCTCTGCACTAGCAGCCCTTTCTGTTGAATAAGTAAATGTATGAAAACTTGGTGCATCACTGAGGAGAGGCTTCGCCTGGTGGTTGAGGCAGACTGTGGGACTCAGGGCCCTTACTGGAATCTTGGTTCTGCCAGCTACTGTGTCACCTTGGGCAAGGAAGGTATTTAAGGGTCTCTGCCATGCGGTTTCATCATCTGTGAAACAGGCGATAATAACAGTTCTTACTTCATAGAGTTACAGGGAGGATTAAATGAGTTAATACACATGAAAGTGCTGAAGCTGACTTGGCACACTTGGCACCCTGAGCCGTGCTTTGGTCTCCTTTGCCAGTTCTCCCAACCACAAAAGGTTAGCGAGCCCCAAGAACTCAGTCTTTGATCCTCTCCTCCTCCCTATCCACATGCCCTTCCTTGGCGATCTCATCCACTCTGTGGCTTTACATACAACCTATATGCCAATGATTTCAAAGTTTACATCTCCAGCCTAGAACTCTTCCCGCAATTCCTGACTCATATACCCAACTGCCAGTTTGAGACTTCCACTTAGATATCAGTGTTCTCAAACGGAACAAGCCTCAAACTGATCTTAATCTTCTCCCCCCAGAACCTGCTCTCCTACCATCTCTTCTTATCTCAGGAAGTGGCAACTCCATCCTTCCAGTTGCCCAGGCCAAAACAATCGGGGTCATCCTTGACTCCTCTCTTTCTCTCAGACCCGGGGTCTCATCTGTCAGCAAATCCTATCAGCCACATCCTCAAAACATATCCAGGATCCACCCCCTTCTCACCACCTCCCACCCTGGACCAAGTCGCCAACGTCTCTCACCTGGATTATCGCAGTAGCTCCTATATTTCAGTCTCTTCTCAATACAACAGCCAGAGTCATTCCATTAACATTTTAACCCCTCCTTCTGTTCCATTCACTCAGCGTAAAAGCCAAAGTCTTTTAAAAATAAGCACAGATCTGCCCTCCACTTCCTCTCCCTTTACCCCTTACCTCCCTGACCTCATCTCCTACCCCTCTTCCCTCCTTGCTGTTCCTCCAAGAAGCAGGGCACTCTCCGTCCTCTGCATTTATTCTCAGGGCTTTCCCTGTGCAGGGATTGCCCCCCTTTCCAGGCCACTAAGATTTTTATACCAATACCTCCTTGCCAGTGGGGCCTTCCCTGGTCGGCCTTTTTAAAGTGGCACCCCCAACGCTCCCTATGCCTCTGTCCCACTTTATTTTTCTCCCTAGTATTTATCACCACCTAACACACTACTATGCAAAGGACACCAAAGCACGGCTCAGGGTGCCAAGCGTGCCAAGTCAGCTTCAGCACTTTCATGTGTATTAACTCATTTAATCCTCACTGTAACTCTATGAAGTAAGAACTATTATTATCGCCTGTTTTACAGATGATGAAACCGTAGGGCAGAGACCCTTAAGTACCTTGCCCAAGGTCATACAGTAGCTGGCAGAACCAAGATTCCAGCATGGGCCCTGAGTCCCACAGTCTGCCGTCAACCACCAGGTGACACCTCTCCTCAGTGATGCACCAAGTTTTCATACATTTACTTATTCAACAGAAAGGGCTGCTAGTGCAGAGGGACCTATACAGGATCGGTCCACAAACCCTCTGCATCTCAATTTTCACACAAGTAACATACCAGCCTGCATCCTTGATGGGATTTGTTGAAACTAAAAATGATAATGGACATGAAAGGCTGTGTGAACGGCAGCATGCAGTGTCCATGTTACACCGTGTCACAGCATCTCTGGGTTAGAAGAGGCCTTTCTCCACCCTTGAAGAGAATACCGTCCCTTCCCAATGCATCACATAACTTCATCACATCCCTGGTGTACAGTGTGCTGCTTCTCCGCTTGAGCCCTTTCTCTCTCTGCAGTTCTATTTGTTAGAAACTTCTTTGAAGTAAAAGATACTGCCTATAATTTCTACCGATCAGATCAAGCTTCTCCCTCACTGAGACACCGAGTACAAGTCTATAATTTAACAGCATGCTCATATGCCCTTGGGTTTCTCCAGGCATCTCCCCCGATTGCCCTTCTCTTTGAACCCAGATTTGGTTTTCCAAACAGAATCAGTCAGTCATCTGCAAGGAAAACAGAAACTATTCTAAATCAGCATGGCTCTAATGCAGGGAGCTGGTTACACAGGTGATAGAAGAGGCCAAGACGTAACCCTGAGGCAACCCAGAGATTAGCAACAGCAGGAACATTAGCAACATCCTGCCAGTGGAAAGGAGGAGATGGTGTCATTAGAGACTAGGGGCCTGGCTCTCCTGGCTGAAGCTAGACCCACAAAAGGCCTTTGCATCAGGAGCTGGAGCCATGGAAGGGAAGCTGCTGGAGGCAGAGGAAAAGGGAAAGAAAAATCCTGCCTTCTCCTTTGCTCAGATCCCCTCCCATCTCCCAGCAGTGCTTCCTCTTGACTGAACCCAGTGGAAACCCAGCCCACAGGGCCAGTCCCTGCAACCCACTGCTGAACAGGGGAGGCAAGGACTGGATCTGAGAGGCAACAAGTCCAGGATCAACACAACCCAGCCTCCACCGTCTGGCCTCTGCCTGCCTCTCTGACTCTGTCTCTTACAAGCCCCCTTTAGTACCCCCCAGCCACACTGCCTTCTGCTTATGTTCCAGCCTGGGCCTTTGTACTGTTCTGGGGCCCTCTGCCTGGGGTGCGGGTCATCACATGCTGGCCTCTTCTTATCTTTCAGATCTCAACTCACAAGTAACCACCATCACGAGGCCCCTCTTGACTTCCCCAAGATAAATCAGCATCTCCCCCACAGCTGCCCTCTCACTCTCTATTACATCTCTCTCTCTCTCTCTGTCTATCACATAGCACTCTTTTCACTATGTGAAGTTTTTTGTTCATTTCTTTATTCAACAACTAGTTGAGTACCAATAAATGCCAGGCACTGCCGGAGGCACTGGGATACAGCAATGAACAAAACCCATAAGAACCCTTCATGGAACTTACATTCTAGGGCATGAGACTGAAAGTAAAGGAAAGTCAGAAGGTGGTAGATGTGAGGGAGAAAAATAAAGTAGGGTGGGGATGTGCTGGCAAGGGGGTTTGCTGTTTTAACAGGGTGCTCAGAGGAGGCATCACTGATAAGTGAGATTTAGAGAAAGACCCGAAGGAGGTGAGGAAATGAGTCATATAGATACCCAGGATAAGAGCACTCTGGGGATGGGGAACAGCCAGTGCAAAGGCTCTTAGGCTCAGCATATTGAAGCTGAGAGAGTGAGGGGAGGAGTAAGAGGACAGGTGGGGGCTGCGGGACAGATCCTTTAGGACCTTGTAGGTCCCTGTGAGGACTTTGGCTGTGAAAGGGTTAGAGTAGAGGAGTGAGCTGATCTGACTTTAACAGGCTCTCCCCAGCTGCTATGTTGGGAATAGACCATAGGGCGGCAAGGGTGGAAGTAGAGAGACCAGCTAGGAGCCTACTGAAAATAAGCCACAAGAAATGCCGGTGGCTTGTACCAGGGAGTAGTGGGGGAGGTGGTGAAATGTGATCAGATGCTGAATGAATTTTTATAGTAGAGCCAACAGGATCTGCTGATTTAGATGGGGGGGTGTAGGAGAAAGGGAGGAACTGAGGACAACTCCAGAGTTTTGACCGTAGAAATGGGAGGATGGAGTTTATCATAGGGAGAAAGACTGGGAGGGGAGCGGATTTGGGATAGGAGATTAATAGTTCCGATCTGAACCTTGCAATAACCACTAGCACTAACATACACTTACAATGTGCCAGACAGTGTTCAGTCCTTAACATTTGATGACTCAGTTAATCCTCTCAGAACTCTATGAATAGGCAGTAATATTCCCATTTTATATATGACATAACTGAGGCACAGAGAGATAAATAAAGTCCTGAGATCACAAAGTCAGTAAGTGGCAGAGCCAACACTCAGAACCAGGCAGCCTGGTGGCAGGCTCCGTGCTTTCAGTAGCTACCCTCTGCAGCTACTGGGTGGACATCCAGTGGAGAAGTTGCCTTGGCACCTGGACATGTAAGCCTGGGTTCAGGGGAGAGCTGGAGGCTGGAGATACTCATTTGTATATATTTGGGAATTGTTTTCATTTCTTAGGGCTTCCATACCAAAATACTACAAACTGCGGGGCTTAAAACAACAGAAATTTATTGTCTCACAGTTCCAGCGGCTAGAAGTCCAAAATCAAGGTGCTGGCAGGGTCATGCTCCCTCCAAGACTTTGGATAGAAGCATTTCTTGCCTCTTTCTAGCTTCTAGTAGTGGCTGGTGAGCCTTGGGATGCTGCCTGTTGCTTGGCCAAGGATGGAGCCTGGCCTCCTGAGCCATGACCTGTAATCAGCAGGTGAATGATTAAGGCCACTTTGGCTTGCAGCTGCATCATGCTGCTGCCATCACAGGGCGTTCTCCCTGTGTTTCTATCTTTACATAGTCATAATGGATTAAGGAATCACCTTACTTAGTATGACCTCATCTTAACTAGTGACATTTACAACCATTCTATTTCCAAATGAGGTCTCATTCTGAGGTAGCCGGGGTTATTACTTCAACGTATATTTTTGGGGGACACAATTCAACCCATAACAGGAATCTTTAGGATACAGGTGGTAATTCAAGCCATGAGACTAGAGGAGACCACTTCACAAGCTCCTAGAGAGTGAGTAGAAAGGAGACCAAAGACCTAGTTTGGGGAACGCCACACTGGAGAGTTGAGGGGATGAGGAGAAACCAGCAAAGGAGATTGAGAAGGAGCAACCAGCAAGGTGGGAGGCAAAGTGGGAGTGTGTGGTGTCTTGGAAGACAAGGGACGAAAGTGTACAAGGTGGAGGGGAGATCAGCAGAGTCCAGTGCAGCCGATGGCTCTAGGAGGGTGGGGAAATGGCTATCTGATTGGACAACTTGGAGGTCATTTGTGACCTTGGCAAGCACTGTTTCAGTGGAGCGGAGAGGATGAAATCCTGGTTGGCATGTGCTCATAAGGGAATGGGAGGAGAGGGCTTGGGGACAGCAAGTACAGAAAACTCTATGTGTTTATGGTCTATCTCTCCACTCTAGCATGGAAGAACCATGAGAGCACTCAGCACATTGTATTTGTATCTCCCTCAAACGTGGGAGCCCATAACTTTCCAGTTTGGTGATACCAACAAAGAGTAGAGAGGAATGATATGGTTGGACTGATTTCTCTGGTTCCTTCCAGCTCTGAAATTCTGATTGTGTAACTCATTCTGTCAGCCTCCCTTGTATTAATACAGTAAGGAATTTGAGTCATTTATTTGTTTTGGTAAACTACTGTTAAATGAAATGGCTGGAATAAGTGTTCCACTCATAAATTTAACAAACATTTGTTGAGTGCCCACAATGTTAGGTGCTATATATATTGTCTCATTTAATAGATGTAAGAGCAGAGGGCCTCAGGTGGGGAAGGATGGTCAGGAGAGGTAATGGAGGCTTCCCACTGCTAACATGCCCAGAGGTCAGGGTGCTCTGATGTGATTCATATTACTGTGGTTGCCACTGAGGAGGGAAGAGGCCCTGTATGGCCTGAGTGCAGGAGGTTGCACAGCTGCAGCTGCCAGGGACACAGAGCAGCATTTACCAAGCCATAAGCAACCTCTATCTGCTTCACCATTGAGCAGCCCAGGGTGGCCACACAGAACAGCTGTTCAGGCACTGGGAGGAGGGGAAGAGCTGGTCCTCAGGTTCATTCAGCTACAGGGCAAACACCCAATTCTCCGCCACATTCAGGGCACAGGCTTGTGTTGTGATGAACAGAGCCATTAGGTTTTTGCTGCATGGTCCATTTTGGCTCTATGAGGCCTGTGGAATAGGTCAGGGTTTAGTAGTTACATTCTAAGGCGAAGAGAGGAGAGCTCTGAGCATTGTAAGATCTGCCGGGGCCGGGTAGAGCCAGGACAATAACCTAGAGGCCTTGACTCCAAGTGTCTGTCCTAGGAAGAATGGAAAGAACACGGATTCTGTAGTACCGTCCTGGATTAAATAATCTTCACTTGATCACTGCCCACCTCCCCACCCTCCATCCTTTCTGAAACAGGGTACCTCACTTTCCTCATCTTCCTCATGGTAGGAAGAAAAATGTCACCCTTATAGGGTTCATTGCAGGATCAAGGGCATAATGTGCTGAAAGTGCTTTGTAACATACAAAGTGTCTCCAGACAATTATTTCGATTATAACCACCAGGCCAAGCTTCCTCTTGCGATTACAGGTTAGTCTCTCCGACCCATCTGACCTGGCCCCCTGGTTCCACTTTCCACTCATTTTCTCCGTCCCTCCCCCTTCAGCAAAGAGAGGAAGTGAGAGACAAAGAGCGCACGTGCGTCAAACACCCAAACGAAGCCTGGCTCCTGGCAACACGCAGGCTTCGCCGCCCCCCCGGGGTGCTGAGAGGTGCTCCCCGCCCAGAACTACATTTCCCAGCAACCCTTTAGAGGCTCCAGCGGCGCGGGGAGCGAGGCGCATGCGCCGAGTACCGCCCCGCCTGGTGTCGGGGCCGCCCACTCCGAACCGTTTCGCCCAGCAGAGCCGGCAGGTCCCGGTGCCGCGGCCGCGGTGCTCGCCTCCCTGCTCTTCCCGGGCCGTAGCGGGCTCAGGTTTGCCTTAGCTCCGGTCAGTGCCATGATCCGGCAGGAGCTCTCCACATCCTACCAGGAGGTACAAGGCAGTGGGGGGGCGGAAGCAAAGTTTCCAGCGAGGCGGAGGAGCGGGGTCCCGGGGTCTAGGGCGGGTGGCGTCGAAGGGGCGTCCGGGCGGGCCGTGCGCAGCCGAGGAGCGGTGCGTGCTCGGGGGAGGGGTCCCCGCGTGCAGAGGAGCGGCGGACCGGGGAGGAAACGGGGCGCCGAGCCTCCTCCAGATGCTGCCGTCCCTTGGCTGAGGGATGGAGCCGGGGCCCCCGAGCCGCGCCCCGAAACCAGCAGGTGAATGATTAAAGCCCCGTCGGGCCCGGGCAGCGGCGCCGCCCGCCGGCGGGACCCGAGTGGCCCCGAGGACCCCGGTGTTTTCTGCCACAAGTGGAAGCGCTTTCGCCCTCCTCCCAGCTGGAGCAGATGCGCGGTGGGCGTCAGCCCTCCTCCAAGCCCAAGGCCTCGTGGCCCCGCAGCTGTTAATGACAGGGATAATTAACGTCTTGTTGTGGTGGCCGCCTGACTTTGAAAATGTGCTTTCACCAACACAGCTGCTGCTTGCTCCGCTCGGTTTTTCTCTGCAGCCTCACCTCCTCCCACGACTTTAACTATCACTTTCCTGTTCTTTGTCTCTTTCTTATCTGTCCTGAGCTACAGGCTGCGGATCCAGCTTTTCCCTCAGACCAGCTCTTCCTCCTGCCTCTTACTGAGACTAGTGACCTGCTCTCCTCCTCTCGGGTCCCACGCCTTGGTCATCGCTGGTAGTCTTCCTCCCCTGTGCCCTTCACTTTTTCCCCCTTACTTGGCAAGTTCAGGCAGTTTCACATCCTCAATCCTCAGGTCCCTGTGCTCCAACCACCTGAGTGTGATAGTGTGTTACCACCTCTCCCTTTGGTGTCCCCCATGCTGTGCAGATTCCTTTTGAGGCCCTGCCTTGATCCCAGAGCATTCCTTTTTTACATACACCTGGTGCTGCCCTTGGTCTACCCAGAACAGTCTAAACTTCTTAGCAAGCTTTCAAAGCTTTATACAGCTCAGCAGCTGTATCTTCTATTACCTTCATCATCTCCTCACCCATCTAGCTTCTGGCCACACTGGAAGCTCCTGCTTAAAAATGTGCTCCTGTTTAGCTGCATTTATGCCTGTGCTCGCACCATTTCTTCAACTCCCTCTCAAACTCCATTGGTTAAAATGCCCCCATTATTCAAGTCGCGGGGGGGTGGGGGGGGGGTTGTTATTCATGCTCTATGGAGATGACTGCCCAGACCTGTCTAGCATTCTGCCTCTCCTTCTCACATGAACCTGCTGCTGTTTTGATCAATAGTGGTCAATATTGATGTACATTCTCCCTTTGTAAATAATACTGTGTGGAGTATATAAAGCAGATGGCTTAGTCCCACAGTAGAAGAGGTAACTGAGTTGAAGACAAATGAGATTTACCTGACTTGCCTTTTTTTAGTGTAGGACCTGGACTGGAATCTGACTTTGCAACAGATTTCTATATTTCTCCTACCATCTCCTTTATCCAAAAGGAGCCTGATGGATTTTAACCAGTGCTGTGGATTCTGTGGCCCCTAGATTCCATTCCCTAGACAGTGAGGGAAGCCTGGGGAATGGCTTGTGTCTTTCCCTGACTCTGAAAGTTTTCAGGTTTAGAGGGAGTAAAGCCTAGTGGGTAAATATGAGGACTTCGAAGTCGAAAAGCCCATATTCCTATCCTGGCTCTGCCCCTTGCCATTTCTGTGACTTTTGTCAAGTCACTTCACTTCTTTGAGCCTCAAATTTCTTCATCTGCAAAACAAAGGTAATGATAGTCCCGTCTCATAGGTTGTGAGAATTGGATGGGTTGGTATTTGGAACGTGCTTTGCTCAGTGCCTGGTGGTAGTGACCTCTCAGTAGATGATAGCTCTTGTTAACAGGACCTGGGCAGCTCCTGCTTCTAGGGAGGTTTGGGGTCCTGGTTTACAGGACCATGTCCCTCACCATCCACATATAACCTGCAGTATCTCCTTACCTAGCAGGGCTCCTAAAATCTTTATTAAAATATAGGCAGTTATCCTGGTGGCAGGGGCAAGGCTGAGGGTGGAGTCAGTTTCTATTTCGGGGCACCCCCACAGTGGAAGACAGTGGGAGGAACCCTTCCCTTGCCTTCTTCAGTGGCCCATTCTGCAGTCCCTGTCTCTCCCCTTCTTCAGAAGAAGGAGGCCTCCGGTGAGTGGCCTGCATTTTTCTTGCCTGGGTCATTCTGAGAGTGGACTTAGCTCCAAGTTTGGTTTCTTTTCTGAGGGGAGATTTTGGCTTTAGGGGTTGGGGGCATGCTGAGAATTTGGCGAGGTGCAGGCAAGGAGGTGGGCTCATTATGGCTGCAAGTAGTCAGGAAGAGAACTGGGTTGGGAGCGCATTGCCACCTGGGTTAGCCTGAGCCTGGGTGAGGCTTGGATCAGAGAACTTTGGGCCTTCCCAGGACTGACATCCTCCTTTCCCTTTGGCCAGCAGGCACTCTGGGGACGTTTTGATCTGTGCTCCCGCTGAGGGCCTGTGTCTCATGGTGCCTCCTCCAGCCTTCCAGCCCTCTCCCACTTGTTGGTTTTCTTTTCTTTGGAGCTTGGACAGCTTGAAACTGGAGGTTTTACCTGATTCTAAGGGGCAGGAGTGGAAACGTGGAGAGGCAAATGGAAGAATAATAGATACGCAAAGAGCTTTATTTTAACTCAAGTCTCTTGGAGATGAATTTTTTTTTAATTAAAAAAGGTTTTTTTTAAGATTTTATTTTTTTCCTTTTTCTCCCCAAAGCCCCCCAGTACATAGTTGCACATTCTTCGTTGTGGGTCCTTCTAGTTGTGGCATGTGGCACGCTGCCTCAGCGTGGCTTGATGAGCAGTGCCATGTCCGTGCCCAGGATTCGAACCGATAAAACACTGGGCCGCCTGCAGCGGAGCACGCAAACTTAACCACTCGGCCACGGGGCCAGCCCCTTGGAGATGAATTTTTAATAAAAGTGTCTTGAGACCTTCATCACTGACACTGTGTGCCTAAGAAAATGCTTGGGAAACCTATCGCCTTCTCCGCCCTCCCCGTTCAGTGATTGGTCCTCCTCTCAACTCTGGTCTTGATCTCTGCGGCCGCCTTCCTTAATGCTACAGAGACTTGTTGGTTATCACTGTTTATCCTTTTTTGCCCCCCTGCCTCCTCAGTGGCATCATTTTCCCCATTTGACAGGTGGGAACACTGACGCAATGAGGTTGAGGTTACCTGCTACCAGGCTGCTAATTAGCATCTGTCTCTAGGATGGATTGCCCTCCCCACTTTGTCCTGCCGGTTGCAGCCTGAGGTGGTGGACTTTGGTCCAAGTTCTGGAGAGCTCTCACACCAGTTTCTCTGTTCCCTCCTCTTTCTCAGCGGAGTCTTAGCCACATTTCCTCCTCCCTTGGGAAGTAGTTAAGATCATGGGCTTTGGAGCTAGACCAACTTGGATTTGACTCCTGGCTCTATGGCCATGGAAAGTGTTGTGGGTTGAATTGTATCTCGCCAAAAAACCGTGTTGAAGTCCTAACCCCAGTACCTCAGAAAATGACCTTATTTGGAAATAGGGTCATTGCAGATGTAATTAGTTAAGATGAGGTCATGCTGGAATAGGGTGGGCCCTAAGCCAATTTGGTGGCCTTACAAGAAGATGACCATGTGCAGACACACAGACTTCGTGTGAAGACGGAGGCAGAGATTGGATGCATCTGCAAGCCAAGGGATGCCAAGGATTGCTAGCCATTATCAGAAGCTAGGAGAGAGCATGGGCACGATTCTCTTTCACAGCCCTCAGAGGGAACCAACCCTGCTGACACCTTGGTCTTAGACTTCCAGCCTCCAGAACTGTGAGCGGATGAATTTCTGTTGTTTTAAGCCGGCCAGTTTGTGGTGCTTGGTTAACTCAGCTGTGGGAAACTAATATATAGCAAGTTACTTGAGTTTTCTGAGCTGCAGTGTCCTCATCTGTAGAACTGGCATAACACACCCTACATCATGTGATTTTTTTGGTAACAGTTGAGTGAGAAGCAGCTTCTGCTTTCTTACTCAAGCCCAGAAATGCAAGGCTGATGGAGCTGACCTTTTTTCTCCCTTTAGCTGAGTGAGGAGTTGGATCAGGTGGTTGAGAACTCAGAGCAGGCGGACGAGCAGGAAAAGGAGACAGCCAGAGTCCAAGGTGCAGGAATCTTACCAGGTAAGTGGGTTCGGTGCTGGGGCTGGAAGTGCTGGAAAACGGTGCTGTGCTGTTGCTGCAGCTGGAGGCCTCAGTCCAGGTGCCTCACCAGCTGGGTACCCGAGGGAGGGGAGGAGCCTCCCTGCCCTGCACCCTGGTGTGGGATCTCAAGTGTTGCCCTAGTTTTAAAGCTATACATATTTAACCAGCCATGGGACAGAGGATGTGTCCAGTATCTGCTCTTTCCCTTGCTCCAGTTTGAGCCAGTTCCTGAAGTCAGGCCATTGGATACAATAGCAAGGGCTTTGGGTCTCTGCTCTTCTGTTCCTTTTTCCCTAGGAAGCTGTTAGCAGTTGAGCCTCTAATATCTGGGTCCGTTCCCAGGGCCCTCTGGGAGCTAATCTAATAGGCCCCACCTCTTGGACATGGGGCCTCTTCAGTATCCTTGCCCAGCTAGGTGATGAGGGTCCCATTCATATGGAGCCTTGCATTAAGTCGACCACTCTTCCCCCTGGATACACTCTGCTCCCTTAGCTTCTGTAATATAACCCTTCTCAGACCACTCCTTCCAGACTCCTTCGCAGTTACTATCCAGCTCTTGGGTGTTAAACGTTTGTCAAAGGCCCCGTTGCCTCACTCTAGAGGGCGATCTCACCCAGGCCCCCTCCTCCACTTCAGTCACCCCTTGCTTACACGTGACTGCCATATTTATGTCTGTAGCCCAGAGGTTACCTAGAAACTCCAGACTTATGGATCCTGTATATGCAGATGCCCGGTGATAGCTCTGCTTGGATTACCCAAGGTACCCTAAACTCCACGTGTCCAAAATCGCCTCATGATCTCCCCCCACCCAGCTTGGCCCTCTTCCACTGTTTTCTGTTTCCAGGAATTGTACCACCACCCATCAGTTGAACCTGGGAGTCATTCTTTTTTCCTTCTTTCTCTTCTTCCCCTTTTTTTCTGCCCCCCTCAGCCCTGCTGGCTTCTTACTTTGGGCCTCACTGCTTCCCACCATTGGGCCTTTTTGTTGTTTTCCTCTTCTGCCTGGAATTCTCTTCCCTCTGTCATCTAGTTAATGCCTAATCCTTCTTCAGCTCTCAGCTCATGTTTTTCTACAAAGCCCTCTCTGACCTCCTGGCTAGATCCCTTCCCCCCAACTCTACGACTTGGGCTCCTAGCCTGCGCACCTTTCCCTCACAGCTGTCGCTGATGGAGTGATATATTTGATTGCCTGACCGTTTGATTAATGTCGGTCTGTTCTACTGGAATGTAAGCTTCATGAGGGTGGAGACCAGTCCATTTTGCTCACCGCCTTAGCCCTGGCCATGCAATAAACATTTTGCTGACTGAATGAGTGAGTGGATGGAGCCCCCGCCTGACTCCAGCGTCTTAGGTGGACTGAGGCAGGTGGGATTCTGCTCCTCTTGATTCCTGTATTTGTAGGGGAGCGGAACTGTGTAGGAAATTCTGTGACTGAGTCTAATCCTTCGAGAAGACTTTGTAGACAGAAGGAGGCTGGAAGGCAGCTCGTGTTCGCTGACTGCTTCCTCTGGGCCAGGCTCTGTCATACCCATCGCCCCATTTAATTCTCATAACAACCCTGGGAGCTGGTCATTTTTACAGAGGAGGACTTGAGGCTCAGGAGGTTAAGTAAAGAGTGGGAAGATCACGTAGCTGGTAAACAGACAGACTGGATCAAGACCCCAAAGTCTCTCCTGCTGTATTGGTTTTTAAAAAATGTCTTAAGCCTGCTTTTATTGAAGCCCAACGTGTAAATGCTAGTAGCGTGACAGCCCCCACTGACTCCAGGCACTGCCCCAAAGTCCTAAGGCCCCAGGGAGAACAGTTTAAAGGCCCTGTATATTAATTTCCATTGTTCCTGTAACAAATTACCACAAACCTAGTGGCTTAAAACAACACAAATTTATTATCTGATAGTCTGGATGTGGAAGTCCAAAACAGGTCTTAGTGGGACAAAAATAAGGTGTTGGCAGGCCTGAATTCCTTTCTCGAAGCTCCAGGGGAAAGTCCATTTTAGTGCCTTTTCCAGCTTCTGGAGGCTGCCTTCATTCCTTAGCTCACGGCTCCTTTTCCGTCTCAAACCGGCCGGTTGAGTCTTTCTCCCATCTCATCATTCTCACCCTGACTTCTGCCTCCCTCTTCCACGTTTGAAGAGCCCTTGTGACTGCATTGGGGCCACGCAGATAATCTAGAATAATTTCTTTGTTTTAAGGTCAGCTGATTGGCAACTTAAATCCCATCTACTGCCTTAATTTCTCTTTACCATGTAATTTGGCATATTTACAGATTCCCAGAATAAGGACTTGGGCATCCTTGGTGGGCCGTTATTCTGTCTACTGCACCCTGCACTGCCCTCTTGCCTCCAATCAGAAAAGGATAGATGGAGGCAGCAGGAGGAAGGGAAAGGAGGCCAGACATGGAAAAATGAAGTTTCCTTTTGTAGATAGATTAGGAAGTGGCCATGATGACCTTTGACCTTAGCAGCTTCTCTTTTGCCTCAAAGCCTGAAGTTGGTTGGAGCAGGAAGCCAGACCTTAGGCAAAGCAGATTTGGAGTAGTTCCATTGACTCGCATGAGCCTTCCCTGCTTTGGGGGAAACTCTGCTGGGTGCATCTCCCTTCTAGAGCATAGAAGATCCACTTCTCAGAAGTCCATTTGGCTGGTCTCAGTGGTGACTTGGCCCGAATTTGGTGACCTGATATACAACTCTCAGAGCTCATCTCCTGCCTCTGAGTCCTCTAACAATAATAAATATAATGGTAATGATGACAGCAGCCATTTATTAGGTGCTTTCATGTACTACGCCTGTGTAGGGTTTTTTATATGTACTTTATCACGTAATCTTCATGGCCATTCTGTAAGGGAGATGGCTAGTCCTAGTTTATAGATGAGGAACATGAGGCACAGAGAGGTTGAGTAACGTGCTCAAAGTTAATGAGTGTCAGGGCTCAGATTGAACCCAGGGCTGTCTCTAAGGTATTCTGACTCTGGCTCAGTTTTTCCTAGATGAGATGCTTTCTTCCTCCTAAATCCTCCCCTTCTTCCACCAGAGTCACTCATGGACTCCTTCACTTGTTATGCCAAGTGCTAAAGCCACACAGAAGGTGAGTGAGACATGGCCTGCCTCTGGGAACTCAGGACACGCAGAGAGAGAAGGCAGGTTACCCAAAGAAGAGCTTTTGTCCCTACTTCTACAGAGCCTGCCCTGAACAGTCTAACGAGGTCCTTTTCTCTCTATCTGCTTTCCTAGCACTCAGTGCTTTTCCATTGTAGCATTTAGCCTAGTTGAGAGGTCATGTTTATTGAATGTAATTCTTTAATTGTTATCAACCTCTTGGTCCTGCCCCTGAGTTCTGTGAGGCGCTAGGTTTTGTCTTTTTCCACCTCTTCATTGTAACTCCAACGCCTAGTAGAGTGCCCGGCCCCAATCCCTTTAGGTGCTTGGTATATATTTGCATTCTGGGACCATAGGGAGGCAGGGGTTTGGAGCAGGAAAGTGTCTCATTGGAGTCCACTTGAATGAATGAAAGCCAAAGAAATGGTAGAGACAGGTGCCTCTGAAATGAATGAAGGAGGGCTGCTTGGTGCAGGAAGGGGGATTAATCTGAAGGAAGGGTGATGTGTAGGTGAGAAAGAAGAGGCTGGCCAGGGAGGAGAGATGGCACGCGCAACCATGTGGAGGTAGGGGTGAAAATAGGACATTTTAGAAACGGTAGGTAGCGCTGTGTGGTTGGAGTGGATGGTTGGTGAGAGAAGGAAACATAGACTGGGTCAGGTTATGGAGGATTTTGAGTGTCACATTTGGACTTTATCTGGGGAGCAGAGAGTATTTAAAGGGCTTGGAGCAGAGCAGTAAGAGGAGTAAAGTGGGCATTTAAGGAAGATGAGTGTGGCAGTGGTGCGGAGCTGGCTTTAGGTGCAGAGGGACACAGGCTACCATGATAGGCTGCTTTGATGTGGGAGAGGAGAAAAGGAAGACACAAAGAAGATTCTGAGGTTTGAAGCCACGTGAATGGGAGAATGATGACCTCTAGAGTCCAGAGGGCCAAGTGGCTCAGAAAAGATGCTTATCTGCTGTAAACATCCCAAGCTTCAGTTGATATGATGTGTCTGGGTGGAGATGGCCCGGAGGCAATGGGAGGTGTAGGATTGACTGGAGAGAGGTGAGGACTGGAGTTGTGAAAGTGGAAGAGGTCCTGCAGCGGGAGGGTTAGGAGCCTTAAGGAAAGCCAGGGCCTGAATGTAGAATGAGCAGGGGAGGGCCATGAAGACTGAACCTCGGGGAATGTCCCTTGTCCATTTCGGGGCCAGAAGAGGAGTTGGAGCTGGATTTGAATGGACGGCCTGGAGGGAGGAGTAGCCAGACAGGAGGACAGCAGTAGGGTGCTGGGCGTGCTGAGCATTCAGCAACAGAGGTTCAGGTTAAGCACCCAAACATTCAGGATCAAATTCCCCATTTTATTCTCAAGATAAATAGTCTCATACCGTAATGTGGTAAAAGGCTCAATCTGTCAAAGGAATCACAACTACTTATTATTCTTTTCAAAGGGAGAAATAACACCAGACGTGCTAATTGAATAAGCACTTTATTACGTCAGAGATGTAACCAAATTGAGGAATACACTTGGTTAATTAGTCATTACAATTAGTTCTCCATGGAAACAACTGTATGTTAATAGAATAGATAAAGATAAGCAACCAAAGAAAAAAATAGGTAAATTGGACCCCATCAAAATGAAACATTTTTTCAGCAAAGGATACTATCAAGAAAGTGAAAAGATAGCCCACAAGATGAGAGAAATTTTCAAATCACATATCTGGTAAGGGCCTTGTATTTAGATTATATAAAGAACTATTACAACTCGATAACAAAACCAAATAACCCATTTAAAAAAATGGGCAAAGAATCGGAATAATGTTTCTCCAAAGAAGATATACAAGTGACTGATAAGAACATGAAAAGATGCTCAACATCATTAGTCATCAGGGGATGCAAATCT